GAGGGGGCTGGGACCGTCCGCCGCGGGACAGAGGGGGGCGTCCCAGGGGTCGCATGGGCCCGGTCCTGGAGCCAGGCCCTGAAGTGCCCAGGCTGGCGCATTTCGGGATGTGGTGCCAGCACCGCGCCAGGTGCCCGGGGACACAGGGGTCAATACCCCTGCCCTGGAGGGGCCCAGGGGCCGGTGGGGAGCGGAACAAACACGGACACTATGAGCCTGGCCGGCCGTGTCAGCTCGTGTGTGCCTTGTTCTTTTTGCATCTCACGGGAACGTTTCCATGTATGGACTTTCGCATACTTATCATTTCTTATTAATTTTAGAAACTGTTGTGAATGACTAGCAGAAATAGCCCGGAACCAACAGGCAGAGACGTGGGTTCTAGGCCTGGCTTTGGCACTGACGGTGTGGTCTGGCCTCGGTCTTCCGGTCAAGTGGACTTTGTGTGCGTCCTATTGTAAGGTTCCACGGAGATCTTTTTGTGAAGGGGCGTTGTGAATGGAGAAGTGCTTCCCAGTGCCTGCGCTGGGGTAGGATGGGGACCGCCAGCAGAGGCAGAACACTTCAATGCGAAGGAAATGGGTGAGGCTGACGGAGGGGGACAGAGCTTGGGTTCGAAGCCCTGCCTCCCACTCCACTGCAGGGATCACTGACTAACCAACTTGCAGCGGGCAGCTGAAGGCTTGAGGGTCTCCGGGTGTTGGGATAGGCGCCAGCCTCTGTGCCTGCTGAAGTTGGTTGCTGTCTGGAGGGAGGAGGAAGTAACCTGCTATGTTTCTCAGCTGTTGGTGCGAAGGAAATTGCATCAGTCTGTAGGCTGCAAACCCCCTTCAGCTGGTCAAGCCTTGGAGTGTCTGTACACAGGGTGGTAACTTCCTCTTCTCTAGCTGCCGGGCCACCTGATCCAGGCAGCACCCACACTGAGTGCTCACCAGGCACCAGCAGTGTTTGTCCTTGGTCTGACCCAGTCTCTGGAGGCATCCCCTAGAGGCAGCTGCTCCGGGCCACCAAATATTACATGCCTGTCAATATAGGGCATGGGGGACCCTCAAAAGCAGCATTATGGGCGTTCAGTGAAGATATATTGAGTGCTACTGTGTGTTTGGCACTGTTCCAAGTGTTGGTGACACAGCTATGAACAAGCCAGAAGAGGTTGTGGAGGCAGGTAATGAGATAGACAGATAATACATAGATAGTGACATGCTATGAAGATAATAAAATAGGGTGACTGGGGAGGGGGCCGGTGGCCGAGGAAGGCTTCTAGGAGGAGGTGACACTTGAGCTATGGGAAGATCTGGGAATGGAGCTTGTCAGGCAGGAAAATGGAGCAGTGCAGGGGAAGGAACTGGAGGGGCATAGTCGGTATTTTGGAAGGTGAACAGATGGGGCTTACTGAAGAGGGCTGCATGGCAGCAAAGAGAGGATTTGAGGATGAGCCCTAGGTTTTGGCCTCAGCCACTGGGAAGATGATGATGGCATTTACTGAATACAGACTGAATTATGTATTGCTGTGCATGATGGAGCGCATTGGCAAGCACAGCGTTTTGAATAATTAGTGTCAGCCATTCTTCTTGTCCTCTTGCAGGTTAAAACCCCAGTGGCCTTTGATTCCTCTCTCTTCTTTCTCCACTACCTTCCTCCGACTGTCTCCTTCCCCACAAGTCCTGGGGCTCTAGTGTCTGTTCTCTCCTTTCAGTTCTCCCTGGCACTGGCCCTTTCTGACCTGGACTGTGGCAAAGGCTCCCGTGCAAGTCCCCCTGCCCAGCCCCCGGCGTGTTTCTCAGCCTCTGTCCCCAGTCCCAGCCCACGCACTAGTGCTCCTGCCACACCAGCCTGCCTTTGCCCCTTGACCACTCCTCCTTCTCTCCAGCCTCTAGCCCAGACTCCTGCTGCTCCCTGACCAGGATGCTGCCTTCCTCCTATCGCAGACTGTTGAAGCCGCACCTGGATTTTATGGCCATTTCTACCTTTTGCAGACCTTCCCTCTCTCTCCTTTGAGCTCCCTCAGTCCCTCGTTTGCACCTTTCTCCCGAGAGTTACTTTCCTGTGGTCAGAACTTACCTGCCCTGGCTATATCTAACCCCTCTGTACTGTCCTGCCCAGGCCAGCGCCGTGTGCATTGTAGGCACTCAGGTATGTTTGACTTTGTTAAATCGAGTTTCCTTCCCACCAAACCTTTTATGCAACTCTGAAAACCAGAAAAAGAAAATTAGATTGAGAGGCCAGGAAAGGATTGAGTGTGTTCTGTCTCCCTCTCTAACTGAGACACACACTGCTCACATTCATCCATGCATGTCCCCTCTCAGTAGGTGTTTGTTCATAAAAGGGCATCAGCAGGCCCTCCCAGCCCCCAAGACCAGCAACTTTCTCATCCTGGGGTTAGTCGCAGCCCTTACCTGTCCCCGAGTCCCTGCAGGACCTCTTTCTCCTGTGGTGAGCAGGTCCTGCACTTGGCTGTTGTAGGAGGGTCTCTGGGGACAGTGCCAAGAGTCAGAGATGATCTGCTGCCCTATTTTCCCTTCATTTTTCCCTCCTCTCCTGGAGCTAAGAACATGAGAGGATGCTGTGAACCACTTTACACTGCTCTCTCCTGCTCCATAAGAGCACCAGCCATGCGACCCTGCTGGCAGTGAGTGCAGGCCCTTAGGAGGACTGGAGTTGTCACCCGACCACCACCTGTCTCAGGCTGTTCACCATTAAAATGCCTGTCAGCTGACCCAGCACACCCACCTCTTCCCTCCTCACAGGATTCTTCAGCCCAGCATCACACTCTTGACCCACATTGGCTTCCTCCTTCTTCAGCTCATCCCCACAGGAGGATCCTGGAGCAACCACTGATGTGCAATCACCAGAAACCTCCTATTTTTTAGTTTCTCACCTGGACATTGAAACAGCCACCCTCATTCTTTTTTTTAAATTTAATTAATTTATTATTATTATTTTTTGAGACAGACTCTTGCTCTGTTGCCCAAGCTGGAGGGTAGTGGCTCAATCTCGGCTCACTGCAGCCTCCAACCCCCAGGTTTAAGCAATTCTACTGCCTCAGCCTCCCAAGTAGCTGGGATTACAGGCATCTGCTACCTCGCCTGGCTAATTTTTTGTATTTTTAGTAGTGATGGGGTTTCGCCATGTTGGCCAGACTGGTCCCAAACTCCTGACCTCAGGTGATCCACCTGCCTCAACCTCCCAAAGTGCTGGGATTACAGGTGTGAGCCACTGTGCCTGCCTTCTCATTCTTATCATAGAACTGATCCATCTATCATCTATCCATCCATCCTCCATACATTCACCCATAATCCATCCATCCACTCATCTATCATCTATCCATTCATCCATCCGTCATCTATCCATCCATTTATCCATCATCCTCCATCATCCATCAATTCATCCATCATCCATCTATCCATTTACCCATCATCTACCCATTTACCCATCATCTATCCATTCATCCATCATCTGTCCATTCATCCATCACCCATCATCCATCCATCCATTCATCCATCATCTATCCATTCATCCATCATCCATCCATCCATTCATCCATTATCTATCCATTCATCCATCCATCATCCATCCATCCATTCATTCTATCATCCATCCACCTATCCCTCCACTCATCATCTATTTGTTCCCCCCTTCCCTCCCTCCTTCTATTCTTCTCTTTCTCTCTCCTAGGGATGGTGATAGTTATCCAAAGGTCTCAATGTTGGGCTGTGGTGGTGTGGAGGGGTCTCAGCTGAGGAGTGGTGCTTGTAGCTGCTCCAAGCTGAAGAGGTCCTGGTGTAGCAAGCCATCGGAGCCATCTAGTATTTTGTCTAGAATTGGAAACTCTGTCAATGCTGGAGGTGTGAGAGGGAGAGTATTGCTGTTGGACTACAGGAAAACTCCTAGGTGGTAGAGCTCAGAGTCCATTGAGATAGGTTCCTCCATGTAGGCAAGGACTTCTCTTATTTATCCAGTCTCCTAGGGCCTGCAACAATGGCTACCACATAGGGGTGCACAATACATTTTTTTCCTTGATATGTTTTTGAATTAATAAATAAACAGATGGATGCAATGATGTGACTTTCCTAGGGTGACACAGTTAGCAACAGAATGGGTACCAGGATCCTGGTTTCCTGACTGATAACTCTACCAAGCCTTGTGCCCTAGTGCTGCCCCACTGAGTAGTGTCTTTGACCCCTGCTGTCCTTGGTGCCATTCCGTTTCCTGTAGAACGTCCAGGGGATGTGCTCAACCAAGCTTCACCTTGGTTTCTGTGGTTTGGGGTTGGATGCTGATCTGTTGGTCCTGGTTCTGGGGTGTTGGGCTATCTTCATTCTGGCCTCAGGTCTAGTCCAGACTCCTCCTCCATGGATTTCCTGGCCCCATTCTCTGGCCCATTTGATTATACACAAAACATAAGGTCACTTCTTTCTTGTCCCCTGGAAGGCATGTTTAGTTGTAATGCCTATATATTCCTTGGAGCTCAGTCTGAGGGCTTCTGACTGGCCCTGAGGGAGGTGGCAGAGTCAGTGGTGAGACCTGTCAACTGCTAGGGGGCAGGGGTGAGAGGAATGGGTAGGTGGAGGCACTGGGGCAGTGGTCATCTGTGCCTCAGGGTGGGGTGAGGCAGAGGGAGCTCCAGACATGTCATCTGTGCACATGAGACAGGATAAGAGGAGAATGAGGAGGACCTGATGGCTTCGGTCCCTGAAAGTCATGGGCTGCAGCCCAGATGGGCCAAAGAGGTGCAGATAAACTTCACTAACTCTACCGTGCTGGGAGCTGCAGGCAGAAGCAGAATTATGGATGAATTATGCAGGACTGGGAGCGAATGCATTCAATAGTCAGGAAATTCCAGGCACCAGTGTGTTTATTTTGATAGTGACCACCTCCCTGTTCTGGTCGTTGCAGTTCCTGGACTATTGTAGGGGTTGCTGCCCTCATCCTGTTCCTGGTAGCACTGCTGGCTCGTGTCCTCGTCAAAAGAAAACCACCCCGGGACCCGCTGTTCTATGGTATGCCTCCACAAAGGGAAATCTTTTGTATCTGATTAATAACACAATACTTTTGGCCTCAGTCACATATTCCTCCTTGGTTGTGAATACTCTGAGCCTTTTGGTAAGAGTGGTTGCAAGTGTAGGAGTGTTTCAGGATAATGTGGCCCTCGCCTCTGGCTATTGCCTCTTAGGCTGTGGACTCCACCCTCTCCCAGGTGGCATCCTGGTAGAGGGTTACTGGCAGGCCAGGCAAGGCAGGCACCCTGCCAACCCCAGCATGCTTTGACCTCTGACCTCGACTCTCATGCCAGCTCCTTCCTGGGCTTCCTGTCTTCAGCCTGCTACTTGCAGTCCCCCCGACTTAGTGCAGAACTTAACTGTGTGGTGCCTGGGTCTGCACATATGCATGAAGAGGAAAATAATGGAACCTGCCATAGAGACAAGCACCTATAGTGCACCTTGTATGGCCCTGAGCACTTTAGCAGCAGGCTTTTACCTAATCCTCCCCATCCCTCCACTTGAAAGTGAAGCAGCTGGCTTGGAGATGCTAAGAAATGTGGCAAAGGTCACATGGCTTTTGACCCCCAAAGCCCATGCCCTTCCATCATGCATGCTGCCCCAGCCAAGCTACTACTGGCCTTTGAGCACTTCCTGTGCCAGGCACCTTGCTGGGCATTTTGTTCTATAGTTTCTGCTTCAGTAATGCTCCATATCAAATGCACCCCAAGTCCTACAGCAACAAACATTTATTTTTCTTGCTCACAGGTCTGTGGGTTGGAGACACTCTGCATCAGGCTGTGGGTTGATTTCAGGGCTGTTCTCTGACTCCTTGTTCTTGGACCAGCAGCTCCCAGGCATGCCCTTCTCAGGGCAGATACAGAGGCACAGTGGGGCTAGTAGGAAGAAAGTGGTGGCTCTTAAGACCTTGGCTTGGAGCTGCCCCCTCTTACTCCCACCCATATTCCACTGGCTGAGATGAGGCATAGGGCCGAGCCCATCAGCAACAGCATAGGGAGCATTCTCTGCCCACAGTGGGCCTTAGGAAAGGTGAGGTGGGAAAGAAGAATTGTGAGTAACTAGTTTCTCCAGTCCACATATAAGAAACTCTGAAGCTTACAGAAATAATGTAACTTGCCTAAGGTTTTACAGCCAGTCAGTAGATGACCTGGATCTGTCTGATTTCAAGGCCCACATCCCTTTTCTTGGCTCTCTCCACTGGCCTGTGCTCTGGCCCCTCTGACTCTTCAAGGCTGGGCACCCTCTCTCCTGTACCCTCAGCCCTCTGTCCTGGTCTGCTACAGCTTTGAGCATACTGCAGCTTCAGGGCCAGGGTCAGGCCCAAGGCCAGACTCCTCATGTACGTGTGGCCTTTTGTTCCTTCTGGGGAGAAGGTGAGTGCTGGACTCCTGGCTGCTGACTCCAGGCAAGGCCACCTTCCCTTCTCTGTGAATTAACCATCCCCACACTCCTCTCCATTTCTTTTTTCACAGCTTTTCTTATATTCACCATCAGATTTTTCTACTGTTCATGCCCATCCCATAGTCTAAGGCACCAATTTGTTACAACTTAAAAATGCAGCTTTGACAAACTAACATGCATTAAATTTGATCACCTGCTGTTTAAAAAGTATTATTTCTTGTTGCTAGTAGCTTTAAGCCCATTTAGGAGATGCTCACAACTCTAATAAGATTCTCTGATAGGTACAGATTTCCTTCTGTCATATTCAGTTATACCCTCTTGTATTCATTTTTAACATCACTAGTCTTATTTCTGAAAGCCATTGTCACTTGCACATTGCCACCTGTCTGTCTCTAGGATACGCTGTGTGGAATAGGGTAACCACACTGGACACGCTGTAAGGTGGCCTGCTTGGGAATCATTGAGATGAATCACTTTGTCAAGTCACTGTCTTTTTTTTTTTGAGACAGTCTTGTTCTATCGCTCAGTCTGGAGTGCAGCGGCGCGATCTCGCCTCACTGCAACCTCCACCTCCTGGGTTCAAGCGATTCTCTTGTCTCAGCCTTCGGAGTAGTTGGGATTACAGGCGTGTGCCACCACACCCAGCTAATTTTGGTATTTTTAGTAGAGACAGGCTTTCACTGTGTTGGCCAGGCTGGTCTTGAACTCCTGACCTCAGGTGTTCTGCCTGCTTCAGCCTCCCAAAGTGCTGGGAATGCAGGCTCGAGCCACTGCGCCCAGCCTGAGTCATTGTCTTAAACTTAGCGGTCACTTCTATGCTTCCTTGGCCACTCGGTTACTGGCTTTGCTCCCACTGCCCAGGTGGGATGTGGGTTTGGCTCTGGGCAGCCACTTGTAGGGGAGTGGAGGATGGGTGGAGTTGGCCTGCTAGAATCTTCTGTGACTGAGTCGGCGGTGACCATCATTCTCCACTCCTGTGATGAGTGTTGCCTTGATGAGAGTAGTTAGGCAGGGATGGGGAGAGCTGCAAACACAAGTGGAGGTCCAGCTGGGTGTGTAGAAGGGGTATTCTGTTAGTCTATCTCGATAATTGTCCACAGCATCTTCTGGAAAACATGAAAAACATTCCATTATTATTAGCTGATGCCAAGCTTGTGTAATTGCCTCCTGAGCTATTGCTTTTTAAACTGCTGCTTTCTTTGCTCTAGTGTATGCAGTTTTTGGATTTACCAGCGTGGTGAACCTCATCATAGGACTGGAGCAAGATGGAATCATTGACGGGTTCATGACACACTACTTGAGAGAGGTATGGGATCACTTAGTGATTATGAGGCTTCAACCAAAAGACCACAACCCAGATCACATTACTCTAAGCCAGAAGTCCTCTCATTTAGTGTGAACAGGTATGATAGGCAGGTTTTGACTTCCTATAATAGCCTTAGGTCACTTATTCACATGGAAAGTGGAGCAGAAAGGACGGTTAGATCACGGGAGGCAATTCTCTCCAATGTTCAGCTCTCATAGCTTCTCTCATGACCCCACACATGACCTGCTTTTCTCCTTTATTTGTATTTAATATAAATAAGGTACCTTAAATGGATTTAGTATTTGTGTGTCTGTTAATACATGACTATCTCAGAAACCCCAAGTCAGTCTTAAATTTGTGAAGTACCAAACACAGAAGCACTTGATGAAGTCATTTGATTGTGATGGCTGGCACTCCTCACCACACTGCCCAAATCATAGCTTTAGATAGCTGCCTGGTACTCAAGAGAGCTAGTCCTATTTTCTTATTTTATGGTGGGCTGAACCCAGCCCCAGAGAGGTTAAGTGACTCATTCAAGGTTACACAGGAAATGAGGAACAGGGCTCGAAGCAGATTCTTCATCCATGTTCAAATAATGGGGAGCTTTGTATGTACACTGTGGGATTTTAGGTTTTATCCTGTCTGTGAGGGAAGATTTTAAGTCAGTGAAGAATACAGGTAACTCTGGGAAGGATGGGTTTGCAGGGAAGGGTCCATGCCATGAGCTGGGGCACCAGTCAGGAGGATTCCTCGGGACCAGCAGGGGCATAAATGTGGCTGGGCAGAGGCAGCGCATGGGAAGTAGAGAGAGGGATGAACTTTAGAGAATCAGAGTGGCTAGAATGAGTAAGACTTGGGGACAAATTGGGAATGATGGGAAGGGTGAGGCCTAAGACAGTGTCCTGATTCCTGCTTTGGAATTTGGAAGAATGCTGCAAACATGTAATGTAAAAACATTACACCAGAGAGGGATGAGAGGAGGAATTTATTTCTGCAGACATTTGTTGAAGGGGACTCTGTGGTCAGAAGACCTGCTCCCTGCCCCCCAGGAGCTCCCTGCCTGATGTGGTGGGGAGATGGCATTGTCCCAGATGCAGTGACAGAGACTTACTCCAGGCACAGAAGTACACGGAGGAGGAATTAAGTCTGGGCACAGTCGGGGAAGGCTTATTGAGTTGGTGACACTGCTGTAGCATTTAAAAAATGGTCATGGCAGTGGAAGATAGATATTTCCAGATGGACCAGGGAGATAGGAGAAATTCTGGAGAGAAAGGACAGCTTGGGCAAAGGCTTGGAGAGGACTGGAGAGGAGAAAGAGCATGTGCCTCCCACTGGGGCACCAATCTGCAGGGATGAGGCTGAATTTCTATGGGGAGGTAGAGTTTCAGATGCTGGCAAGGTTTTGCAGGTCTTGAGCTCTGAGGAGCAGTCCTGGCAGAGAGAGTCCGGGGCCATCTGAGTGCAGTTGGTACCTGAAGGTCTGAGAGGAGACGGGCTTGCCTATGAGAAGGTAGAGAGAGAAAAGGGCTGAGCTTGGGACTTTAGAGACCATGGCCAGAAGAAGAGAAGCCCCTGAAGTGGACCTTGGGGGCAGGCCAAGAGGCAGAAGGAAAACCTGGAGAGTGGGGACCATGGCACCCAGAGGAGGGAGGTTTTAGGAAGGAGGCGGCTGATGAGAGGGCTGGAGGCTGAGCTGGCAAGGGTGGTAAGCATTGGGGCAGATGGGGTACCAGAACGGGGACTGGGGTGTAACTGTGGTGGCAAGGTCTGCAGGGCCAGGCTCTGGGGACCCAGCTGTGATAGAGAGATGGGGCTTGGTTCAGCAGGCTGTGACAAGTTTTGGGGAGTTTTAGAGTAGAGCAACATGCCAAGAGCCAGGCCTTAAGAATCTTCATCTGGCAGGAGGAGTGTCATGGGCTAGAAGGAGGGGACAGAGGTAGGGAGACCATTTGGGAATGTAGCCGTGGCCCAGTGAGGGACACTGAGGGCTAGACCTAATGCTGTGAAGAAGAGGGAGTATTGCCAGGGTGACATGGTAGCGATAAAGTTGATAGATTTGCTGAAAGACTGCATAGGAGAATGAGGAATGAAAAAATGACCATGTGGTTTTGACCTTGGGAAGCTGAATGGTATCATCATTAATATAGAGAGGCCATGGCTGGCCTGGTAGCTCATGCCTGTCATCTCAGTGCTTTGGGAGACAAAGGTGGGAGGATCGCTTGAGGCCAGGAGTTGAGACTGCAGTGAGCAATGATTGCACCACTGCACTCCAGACTGGGTGACAGAGTGAGACCCTGTCTCTACACACACACACACACACACACACACACACACACACACACACATACAGAGAGAGCAAGAGAGAGAGAGGCTGGTTGAGGGGAGATGCTGATGAATTAAGAGTTCAGGCGAGTTCAAAGAACCTGTGGCCTGTGGACCATGCAGTTAAAGATGCTCATCAAGCTACCAGGAGAGACCACCACTGGCTCAGAGAGCCAGGTGTCTTAGCAATGGAAGTCTGAAACCATAAATCAGATGTGTTCTTCAGTCACAGCAAGTCCGAGAGAAAGGACGTGGGCCTGGCATGGGTGTAGAAGCAGAACCTTGATTCTGTTTCCTGCTCCTCTGATTTTAATTTGATTTGATCTGTGGGAGAGATAACAAAGCAGTCCTTGCCCCAGGGGAGCATGAAACTTCAAAGAAAGCCCTGCTTGCTTGGCTGATTGGTGGGCTGGTTGATCTGCACTCTTCCTTGTTGTAGAAAGGACTTAAGGCATCTTACAGTGTGAAACAAGCCAGGACAGCATGAGCGGGGGAGAAAGAAGAAAGGAAAACAAGGTGGGGCCAAAACAAAAGTAGAAATGCACGGAAAATTGCCAGTGACTTTCCAGAAGCCACCTGGAAATGTAACCACCTAGAAAAGGGAAATGTAACCACCTAGAAAAGGGAACTGTAGTTCGTCATATAATCTCGTGTTCATAACATTAACATTTGCCCAGGAGAAGTACGGCTCTTCTTGTTCTCTGCTAGGTATACTAGCTACGTGACCTTAGGTAAGTCTTGTAATCTCTCAGAGCCTCTGTTTCCTCATCTGTAAAATGGACTCAATCCTGTCCATCCCACTGGGTTGTTGGGAAGGTAGAAGGAGGGGTTGGGTGTGAAGCTCCGAGTTCAGTGCCTGCCTGCCTATGTGTCAGTATGTGGAGAATGCATGCTGTGCCATGCCCAGTCCAGCAAGCCACGGGATCAGCATGAATTATTAAGGCCAGCCACTGGCTCTGGAAAGCAGGGTCATCCCTGATCACCTCTCTGATCACTGCCCAGCACCTTTTGTCAAAGATTTGGCTTGGTCTCCATGAGTTTGCCGTACAGCTGAGATTGCCTATCATGCCATCTGCCTTCGCATCACAGTACAAACCTTTGTTGATGCATCATAGGCCCATTGGCCAGGCATTCTCTAATTCCATCCTCTGTGGCCAGACCCTGGTTTTGGCAGCTCCAGCATGAAGTTGTATTTTCACGTTCCTACCAATTTTGAAGAAATAGTTTCATCTTAGCAGATGAACACAAGTTATTTCTGCTGTTTTATTTTACTTGCAATACAGGTCTGATGTTCTGCATTTACAGGTCTTATTTAAAGTGGACTTCTGTTTAATGCTTTCTTTAGGGTGAACCGTATCTGAACACTGCATATGGGCACATGATCTGCTACTGGGATGGCTCTGCTCATTATCTGATGTACCTGGTGATGGTGGCAGCCATAGCATGGGAGTAAGTCAGTTCACCTGGTGTGTGCCTTTGCCACCTTAGCAACCGATAAGCGGGTATGTAAGGAAACGTTATGCATAGAGGCAAATACGCAAGCAAGTATACTGGACATGAATATAAGTTCCATGGGTGCACGTCAGACGTGGCTTTATCCTCCTTGTAACACTGCCTTTTGAATATGTCCCTCTGAATTGCTCCCCAGCATGGTGATAGCTCGGGCAGACCCTTTACGCTTTCTGATTATGTTGTCTTACAAGAATAATTTTTATTTTCAGCAATTAAAGCCAAGCACATCTTAAACTTCATTTCAAAACTTCAGAATTTCCAAACTGCAATTTCATTTTGGTTTAAAGCTTCTGTCCTTCCCCAGATCAGGCACAGCTCTGCGGCTTGGCTTGCACTAAGGCTTGGCTACATGGCCTGTCCGTTCACTCCTCTCATCTCACTCTGCAGCTGGTCCCTTGGGAGTAGATGTGTATGTACAAGGGATTAAAGGAACAGGGGAAGAGTCTTATGTGAAAGGTGCTGTTTTTGGGTAACATGATATGCGAGGTTGGTCTGGGGAGGCACACGTGTGAGTTCTTTAGAGACCCCAACCACAGGAGCTTCTGCATTGCACTAATCCCTGAAGTGAACGACATGCTCTTGCGCTGAATTTCTGCCCATGGTGGCCCACCCACAGCTTTTTTCTGCTGGGGCCCCTGTAACCCAGAAGGTGCACCCTTTGGGGAGGGATCCTTTCAAAACGTTTAAGTCCAGCCGTCTTCTCAGGCCTCCACTTGCTTCCGGGTTACAGAAAGTCATGCATTCTTGCCCCATACAAGGTTGAAATGCAGTTTAACCAACTATCTCCCTCACTCCCAACATGCACTCAAGGTCAGCTCCAGCTAATTTTTTATTTTTTTTTTTGAGACAGAGTTTTGCTCTTGTCTTTCAGGCTGGAGTGCAATGGCACAATCTCGGCTCACTGCAACCTCCGCCTCCCGGGTTCAGGCAATTCTCATGCCTCAGCTGGGACTACAGACGTGTGCCACTACACCCGCAAATTTTGTATTTTTAGTACAACAATCTAAAAATTTTTTTCACCATGTTGGCCAGGCCAGTCTCAAACTTCTGACTTCTGGTGATCTGCCCACCTCAGCCTTCCAAAGTGCTGGGATTACAGGCGTGAACCACCACGCCCGGCTCCAGCTCATTCTTATTTGTCCTCCCTACAATCCCAGTCATTGTGAATGGGCCTCTTGGGGTCCGGTTACATTTGGCTTGAGGGCTAGGGTGGGGCAGGACCCACACAGTATTCTCCTTGTTTCCTTTCAGAGGATTTCCTTTTGAATTTCTCATAGCCTGTTACATAGTGTGGAGTTGGGTTATTGGGGTTATCAATTGAAGGAACTTTTTTTTTTTTGAGACAGTCTCTTGCTCTGTCGCCCAGGCTGGAGTGCAGTGGCACGATCTTGGCTCACCGCAACCTATGCCTCCCGAGTGCAACCATTTCTCTTGCCTCAGCCTCCAGAGTAGCTGGAATTACAGGTGCATGCCACCATGCCCAGCTAATTTTTGTATGTGTGTGTATTTTTAGTAGAGACGGTGGTTCACCATGTTGGCCAGGCTGGTCTCAAACTCCTGACCTCAAGTGACCCACCCACCTCAGCTTCTCAAAGTCCTGGGACTACAGGCGTGAGTCACCACGCCCTGCCTGAACAAACTTTTTGTCAGCATTGAAGATTAGGGGTATATGTCTAGCAGCTCCTTTGCAACATGGGGTACATGTCACTTGTCTTCACCTTTGGGGCTTTGGCCAATATTCTGTGACCCCAGGAAAAGTCCATTTAACATTATCATTGTAAGTATAACTCATACTTACAATGATTAAAAATATGGATTCAATTTCCTTTCTTCTTTCAACTTTCTTTTTTCCTTTCATGCTGCTGAGTTTCACACACAACAGGGAAATGCAGGAGTCCTGTAGCAGGGATGATCATGTTGTAGTTTAACAGAATACATAGCAAGCATAATTTCCTATTTAAAAGGACACGAAGAAGGTTCTATAGTATATCACGTGGCAATGAAGTTAGATAACCAGGACTCCCTGTGTTTGATTTATTCCTCTCGATTCAATATGTTTTGATTCATGTACTTTACTAGTTTGAATAAAAAATAATATTGAGGATCATTTTTTGCTTAGTATTCTAAGACAAACATACCAAGTCAAGATTTTTTTGTTGTTGTTACAGGGAAACATATAGAACCATTGGCCTATATTGGGTTGGATCTATTATTATGAGTGTTGTTGTTTTTGTGCCAGGAAACATTGTAGGTAAGATACTTTATCTTAAAGTTCACTTTCCTTTTCTAAAACAATGGGGCTTGTTTTTAAATAGAGAAGCTCTTTTAGTTATAATAGAACCAGGTGATTCCACGCTTACTAAAAACCTGTTTTGCAGAGTAATTCCTTTTTCTCACCTTTAAAAAAAATACCTTTTAAGAACTGCTTTTGAGCAATTTCCAGACGTGTGCATTGAACAATTTGGCAGTCAAGTATCAGGGATTCCTATTTTTTTAGAAGGATCTCGAGGGAGTGAGTATGGTGTTTATGGCTATATTTAGTGTGCAAATATGTAACTCCTGACACATGATGAGAACTCCAAAAATGTACTTGGAAATTATTAATGTATGCAGGAAATCAGGATATTATATATATAGGGAGATAGCTATATACAAACATATATAGATATCTATCTAGACGTATTTTTTAAAGACAGGATCTCACTCTGTTGCCCAGGCTGGGTTGCAGCGGTACAGCCGTAGCTTACTGCAGCCTTGACCTCCTGGGCTCAAACAGATTACTGTAGGCAGGACATGCCTGTTACTATACATCTAGTATTTTTAATTGACCTTTTTAATTTGGCCTCATTAAAAATATTGTCTGGCCCATAGCAAAATTTTAGATGACCTGAGATGGGGAGGTATCCTAAATATTACCTGTGTTAGATATGCTTTTGGTAACTTCTTTCTCTTTCTCTCTTTTAAATAGGGAAGTATGGAACACGAATTTGCCCTGCTTTTTTCTTAAGCATACCATATACTTGTCTTCCTGTCTGGGCTGGTTTCAGAATCTATAATCAGCCATCAGAAAATTATAATTACCCCTCAAAGGTGATTTTATTAAGTTTTGATGTACCCTGTTCTCAAACTCATAGGGTTCATTCACATCCACTGGCTGCTGAATTGAACTGTGCCTCTGTGGACTGGAGCATTTGGGGTATCCAAACAGTGTGACTGTTTTGATTATGCAGCATTAGCTTACATCTTAGTTAATGTGGGCAAGAAGGTCTGTTTCTGTCTGAATACATCTGCTTCTGTTGGCAAGGCCATACTTTGGGGAGCTTCCTGTGCCAGTGGTCACACTGCCTCTAACCATCAGATTCTGCATTAGTGTGTCAAGTGAAGTCCATAGTATGTGGTTCATCTAGGGTTGTTAATGGCCTGGATTTTGAGCACCTGGGTTCCTCTGTGACACCTATGCATTTATTACCCCAAGACGACACTGGAGGAATACTGTTCCTCAAGGTAGTCTACACAGCCATACAATCTCGACTCCAGAGATCCAGACCCAAGGAGACTGGCTACAGGACATCTGAGACACCTCCCCTTCCATTCACAGCCAGGGTGGTCAAGGTGAAACAACACTGGCCTGGCAGATACTCTGTTAAGGCCTTCATTTCTAAGCTAGTTTCTCTGTTTCTTTCCCTTTTCTAGGCATTAGATTATTTAGCAAGATCTTTTAAGCAAAACTGATATATGAAAATATGAATTACTAGAGATAATCAGAATACGACTATTCATTTTATAAAATGTTTTCAATAAAATTCATTAAAATACATTTTAATTGACAAATACTTCATGTGTAAACATTTAGACAGCTGCTATGTAAACTCAGGCTGGCACACTGACAGCTGGTACTCTCTTACATCCCTCTGAGGAAAGAGGTGGCTGTTAAAAAGAAAAAGCAAATAGTCAGTCCACGCTTAGTCCCGGCTCCACTGCTTTTAAAGTTTCCATGTCAGTGTGTCAACAGAGTAGGTATGCCAGGAGGCATGCAGAATTGCTTATCATCATTTTTAATGTGAAAACACAGTGACAGCCAGGGCCAAGCAGCATTGTCATACAGTGCTGACAGGAACATACATTCAGAATTGTTCTGCAAAGCAATTTGGCAATGTTATCAACCTGAATAATTCTGGAACCCAATAATTCTGCTCCTAGATCCCTATCCTCAGGAAATCATCACACTGATACCACCGAAGATTTACATACAAAATTGTTCATCATTACATTAAGTGTAACAGTGAAAAATGCCTAAATATCCAACAGTGGGAGAATGGCTGAAGTGTGGTGTTTCCATACGGTATTCACTTTCAGAATATTTTTAATCATGTAAGAATGCGTGTGTGTGTGTGTGTGTATATCTACTACATGTATTACTGGAAAAGTATACCAATGGTTAATAGTGATGTGGCAGGTTTATGGTTTGCTTTTAAAATTTCTTATCATTAAAATGTCATTTCAAGAAAAAATGTGGACTCATAGAGCTATAAGGGCCCTTCGAGAGATCATTTAGCCCAAATTCTTCATTTCACAGATAAGGAAACTGAGACTTGAGGAAGGAAATGATTTTCCTAAAGTTCCATGGCCAATGACTTATGATATAAATTGTGAATCTTCAAAATTCTCTTATCCATCATCATGACATTTAATGTTTCAGATTTCAGATTCTTCTTTGGCACTTTGGGCCTGCTCTTTAGGTACAAACTCTATTTTAGGTTATTCAAGAAGCCCAAGCGAAAGACCTGCTGAGAAGACCATTTGATTTAATGTTGGTCGTGTGTCTCCTCCTGGCAACTGGATTTTGCCTGTTCAGAGGCTTGGTAAGCGTAACAGATAATAATAATGTAACATTGTGATACTACTCATATTTCCAAATGGAAAAACCTTAGAAATATGTTTTTGTTTTTCCATCAGACTTCTTAGCAAACTAACAAACCATTCCTCCCATCAAAGCCTGGAGCCCCGGACCTACTTCCTACTGCTCCCTACCTCAGCCTCCTGCTGTCACCTCCTCCTATCCTTAGATCAAGCTCTACTCAGACGCATCTTCTTCCCCATTTTAGAGCATCTAAAAAATCAGCCATTGGAGTCTCTCTCTATTATTCTTTTGATGTTTTGGATTTAAATGTAAATATCTTTGGTAAGGATGGCACCCTAGGACTGCAACACAACTGTGGCACAGAGCATCCCTGCGTTCTCGGGATAGGGGCGATGGGGTTGAGGAAGGCGTACGAGCTCAACAATTCACGTGTATGTAGGGTTATGGGAATGTCTCACTGATAAGAATAGTGTTGAGTAAATTCAGCTCAGGCCTGGAGTATTGTATTGATGTGACTGAAATACATTAAGGGCATGTGGGCATTTCATATTTTCTATCTTCTCTTTTTTAATATTTTACTGCAGAGGTTAAGAAAAAGACTCACAGGCTTTGGAGTTAGAATCCTGGCCATTTACTAGCTGTGTGGCCTTGGAAAAACTACTTAACTCTTTGACTCTGTTTTCCTCTCTGTAAAATAACACGACCTACCTTAACAGTATTGTTTTGGAGATTAAATAATGTACACCAAACACTTGGTAGAGGCTCTTATACATAGTAAATGATTACTGTTAGGATTTTTATTCATCAGTGATCCTTCACAATGGCCCAGTTTGATGATTTCTTCTTAGTAGAAATACATTTGGGAAAATCAAAATTATATTGTTAATTATATTCAGCTTCAGTGACAATTTCTCTTCTAAGCCTGTTGGCGCGCATAACAGTTGGAGGGTAGAGTGGCAAGCGTAAGCCCATGTGGGTGACTTTTATCATTTCAGGGTCTTGGGCTACTGGGGGCCTGTGCAGCAGGCTGGGTTCAGGGGGAGAAGCTGTTTTAAGAGTTATCTTTATCTGTGGAATGCCAGAAACTTTCTGGAGGAGAGTTGGGTTGGCTAACAGGAGGAGGGGCATGGGGAAGAGAAGGCAAGGCCATAGCTTTGCTTGGACCACAGGGCCACTGAAACCATTCTTTGGTTAGTTTGTTGTAGGTTCAAACAACAAAAAAAAAGTGGGCCCCACCTGTATTCTTGCATAGACATATCCCCTTCCCTGTGCACATGAGAAAAATGTGTGCATGTGTGAGTGTGTATGCAAGGTGGGTAGGGCTTTTGGATTGGGGCCATTTTTACCACTCTGCCATTGGCCTGTGTTCATATATGTCATCTAGGTGGGACAACATTTATGGCCAAAGACATGAGGAATGGTGCCTGAGGGGAGGAAGGTGACTCAGAGGGGACCTAGTAAGGTGCCAAAGAGACTTTCAGGCAAGAGGATGCTGCTTTCAAATCATTATCTTTTACTGCCTCCAAAGGCTATATACTCTATGAGGCACTAGAGACAGGAGGTGCTATTTTCAAATCTTGCAATGCATAGTAAGATGAATTTGGTGTAGAAATATACTTTTCTTCCTGTAGGGAATAGCGGGCTAGTTATTTCCAGGAAAAGTGAAACTCATAACTTAGCAAGCTGTGCTTTGGCTAGCCAAACCTAGATACTTAAAACTCTGAATATCTGAAAGGTACCCAAGAATAGGGCATTAGTTACCATTTCCTGCACCATAATTAACCTTTGCTTAATCTCCTTAAAACAAATGTGTAAAATATTTCCATCATTGATGAGTCTCTACAATGCACATTTTGTTAAATAGCAAAGCAGCCTGTGACTAAACCTGGCACATTTAGCCTTATCAGCAAACCTAAGAACCAGATGTGATCGTATTTTTATAATGAGTTTATTTTTGTTCTTAGATTGCTTTGGACTGCCCATCTGAGCTCTGCCGATTATATACGCAATTTCAAGAGCCCTATCTAAAGGATCCTGCTGCTTATCCTAAAATTCAGGTCAAGTAGTTATGAGGCCTAAGATTTTTCTAACATTAATTTTCTTTTAAAAAATGGGTTCCAGCTGGGTGCGGTGGCTCATACCTGTAATCCCAGCACTTTGGGAGGCTGAGGCAGGTTGACCATGTGGTCAGGAGTTTGAAACCAGCCTGGCCAGCACGGTGAAATCCCATCTCTACTGAAAAAATACAAACAACTATCCGGGCATGGTGGCACACGCCTGTAATCCCAGCTACTCAGGTGGCTGAGGCAGGATAACTGCTTGAACCTGGGAGGTGGAGGCTGCAGTGAGCTGAGATCGCGCCACTGCACCCCAGCCTGGGGGACAGAGCAAGACTCCATCTCAAAATACATACATACAAATAAATAAAAATAAAAAAATAAAAATAAAAGTAAAAAAAATGGGTCCCATATAGGAAATAGGAATTAATATTTTCAAAGATGAAAATGTTTATTTTTTTGTACTTTTTAGTCAGGCCAAGTTAACTGCTGATTTGCTGATATTATTTCTCTGTTCTATACAGATGCTGGCATATATGTTCTATTCTGTTCCTTACTTTGTGACTGCACTGTATGGCTTAGTGGTTCCTGGATGTTCCTGGATGCCTGACATCACATTGATACATGCTGGAGGTCTGGCTCAGGTACTAAGAATATTCTGTTGAGAAGGTTTACTTGTGGTTTAGGTGTCATTGTTGAATGTATGAAAAACTTCTCTCCTCAGTGTTTTAGAGTAGGAGATAGCTACTAGACATGTCACCTTTGGTTTTGCAGTTCTTCGGAAGACATTTCTGCAAGTACATTTTATTTAAATCTCACAATAACTATATGGTAGATATGCCAACCCAGTTACAAAGATGAGGAAACTAAGGCCCAGTGAAGTTAAATGATTTGCCCAAGGTTACACACCCAGATGCGGCATTGTTTTATAGGATTGTTTCACAATCTCTGAATACCATGGCTACTAAAAAAAGATTGAGCTGTTACCTTCAAAATGTCCATCCAAATGTAAGACTTCAGAATTCCACTACACTGTGTTATACAGAACCAGGGAAAGTGGTTTAAAAAATGTTCTGGGCCTATCAGTTGATTCCTTTTCCACTGGCACCTTGCCAAATATTTGGCCTAGAGTAGGTGTTCAGTGAATGCTTACTGCATTTGACTGAAAATGAAATTATCTATGGAGAACTTCATATATAACATAAAGCACATTTTTACAAGATAATTAGCAAAACAAATCAATCTGAACAAGGAAGAAAATTAATTTCATTGTTTTTTCTTACTAGAAATAAAACAAATGAACTTATTGTTTAAAAACTTTAGCTCCGTCTTGTTCTTTTCAAGCAGTTATAAGAATGCTATAGGAAACCAAAAATCGTACATAAAGGAATTATGTTTTTGAGATTACTAATGAAGAAAAGAGAATTTTTAGATGTATGCTGTAATTTCCTATTCAGGAAGATAATCATTCAAACTGAAATGAGGTTCATCCAGAAACTGTAGGCTTGTACAGTCAATTATATGCATGGTATAATAACTACGATTGCAAGACATACTAGAATTCACAGGGTTGAAAAATATAGTATTTAAGGGGTCAATGCATTAAATCCTTTCAGTTTGAGGTAATTCTTAATTACAAAATTAGCATAGTAATATCAAAAAAGTTGATGTAGCATCCAGAAGCAATGGTTCCTGTCCTTTCCTCGAGGGGCTTAAGAAGGAAGAGAACTAACATTTATTGCTCTTTGCTGGTTGTTTTTCCTTTGCAGACCTCTAAATACCCGATTCCTCAGTCCCTGGGCTTTATTTGTATATTTTAGGTCTTTATCTTTGTATCTTTCAATACCAACTATAAGCTAATGACTTCCAATTTTCTACCTTCAGCCCAAACTGTTCCCAGACTCCTGTATTCCAAACTCAAGTCTTTTTACTTGCATGCCTCACTAGCACCTCATATTTAATATATAAAATAGGACCGGATCCTCCCCACAACTTCTCTTCCATTTTTTTCATTATCTGTGTAAATAGCCCAATTGCATCCAGCAACTCAAGCCAGAAAGTTGGAGTAATTATTTACACTCCTCATCCTGTACATCTAGACCACCACCAAGTCCGGTTTTTTTTTTTTTTTTTTTTTTTTAAAAGAGACAGGGTCTTGCTCCATCTCCCAGGCTGGAGTGTGATGGCATAGTCATAGCTCACTGCAGTCTCAGACTCCTAGGCTCAAGCAATCCTCCTGCCTCAGTCTCCAGAGTAGCTGGGACTACAGACATAGACCACTGCACACAGCTAATTTTAAAATTTTTTTAAGAGATGGGATCTTATTTTGTTGCCCAGGTTATTCTCAAATGCCTGCTTCAAGTAATCCTCCTGCCTCAGCCTCCCAAAGTGGTGGGATTACAGGTGTGAGCCACCACACCCAACCAGGGCCAGTTAGTTTTACTCCAGTGATTCTCCAATCCATTTTTTTTTTCCAGTTCTGCTGCCCCTACACTAGTCTGAGCTCTCATCACCTTACTTCGTGCCAGGCAAACCACGTTAAAAGTTTTACTTACCTATTTGTCTAAGGATAGGCTATGTGCTCTGCTGTTGTAACAAATACTCAGTGTAGCTTAACACAGTAAAATTTCATTTCCTGTTTATGCAAAGATCATGTGGGATATTTTCAGGGTCCAGGCCTGGCACCAGGTCAACTGCAGGGGAGGCTGGTTACTGTGGTCTTCCTGCCTGCCTCATAATAAACAGCACAATGGACACATCATATTATCTTTTGTAATAGCTTTGAAAAAAAAATCCCAATATAAAGATGAGGAAGCGGAGGCTCAGGACACCTGAAATTATTTGCCTTAAATTACAGAGTTATTAAATGGCAGAATAGGGTTATGAAATCCTGACTCCAAACCTCATATTCTTCTTTATTGTGTTATCTCGCCCACCCCATGCAAACAATGAACTATGGCACAGAGTCCTACAGCAGAAAAGGCTGTACGTAGTTATGAGGTGTTGGAGAACCTTGTGGGTGGAAGGCAGTGACATTCTGAGTTGGACTCTGAGGGCCAAATGGGGCTTTATTAGGCTGAGTCTCTCCTGGGAATAACCCAGGGAAACACTGAGGTGTGGGCATACGGAGCAGGTCTGATGGCAGAATAAGTCTTGGCTTTTATTTGGCCTGGTTCCCCTGCCTTATTCTCCTGTATCCTTCAGGACAGAAGGCCGCATACCCACTTCACTCTTGCCAGCCCTTTCTTTAGAGGATTAGACTGTTCAGTTTGACAGCTGTTCTGTTTGACACCTATCACCTTGTGTTGTGCCTGCACAATCAGGCCTCCTCTACCTGCCATGTGCCTTGGTCAGCCTGGTACCAGTCCCTGAGGCAGGAACACTAAGTGTCATCAGCCAGCAGGCTGGTTAAAGAGACCAGATGTTGGACCTGGTTAAGTCTCAGGAGACAAATGGAAACGGCAGGAAAACCTAGACAAAAGCCTAGTCACATGGCCAGGGTCAACAGTCAGGAAGCTTAGGAAGGTCATAGCTTGGAGGAAAATGGGTGTGGTGAGCCTGTAGCAGTAAGACGAACACTAATTTGTTGGTGAAGCTAAGCTTGCAGATGGGCACTTACTACTCCAGCCAAGTGGTTCTGAGAAGGGCAGTGTGGACTACAGAGCAGCTAGCAGCTGCAGGGGCATTACCCCATTCATGTCAGACATCAGGCATCCTGGGGCTTATCCATCATTGCCCAGTTTGTTAAGGCAGCCTGAAGCCCCTCTTGATGGTGAATACCCAGATCCAGAGCCTCAGGCTAAGGACCAGATCCTGTAAATGTCAGGATGTTTCTCCCAGCCCAGCAGGTGAAGACAGATTGAGTAAAGGATTATGGGTCTAATTCCCATAGCTCTTGGCTGGGCTTTAATATCTATCTACTTACAGTGTGTAGACTAAGGAAAAGTTAGAAACCATGCTGCAACAAAACAATGTATACGACCAGAATAATGAATTAGTTATGTGATTTGTTTTTCACTTAGCAAAAGTACGTGCTTATGAAATGGAGTCTCATCTTATGGGAGTACCTTACATATTCATCACAGAAAGCACTCTCCAGCCAGGCATGGTGGCTCACGCCTGTAATCCCAGCACTTTGGGAGCCCAAGGTGGGTGGACTGCTTGCAGTCAGGAGTTTGAAACCAGCCTGGGTAACATGGTAAAACCCCGTCTCTACAAAAAAATACAAAAATTAGGCTGGCATGATGGCATGTGCTTGTAGTCCCAGCTAATAGGAAAGCTGAGGTGGGAGGATCGCTTGAATCCAGGCAGCAGAGGTTGCAGTGAGCCAAGATTGCATCACTGCACTCTCCAGCCTGGGCGGCGACAGAGAGAGACCCTGTCTCTCCACCACTACCAAAAAAAAAAAAGAAGAAAAAAAAAGCATTTTTCTGTAACGTTAATCAGCATCTTTGCTTGCTAAAATTGCCATTCTTATTTAGAAGCCTTACGCATTCATGATCCCACTAACTTTACTAAAACTTACTTTTATTGAAACATCTAGCAAACTCTGAAGAATCTATACAACTTAATAAGGAAAAAAAACACACCTTTGAATTCATTCTTGATCAGTATAGGCCAATGCAAGAAATATTGAGTAGTAGCCGGGCATGGTGGCTCACACCTATAATCCCAGCACTTTGGGAGGACGAGGCAGGTGGATTACCTGAGATCAGGAGTTTGAGACCAGCCTGGTCAACATGACAAAATCCCATCTCTACTAAAAATACAAAAAATTAGCTGGGCGTGGTGGTGGGCATCTATAATCCCAGCTACTTGGGAGGCTGAGGCAGGAGAATTGCTTGAACCCGCAAGGTGGAGGTTGCAGTGAGCCGAGATCACACCACTGCACTCCAGCCTGGGTGACAGAGCGAGACTGTCTCAAAAAAAAAGAAAGAGTGAGTAGTTACTGGGGCCTTGATTTCGGACCATGTAGGAGTCTGCCAAATCTGCTGCCTTAAGAAATCAAAAGATCAAGGAAAGAGTAAAAGAAAATTGAATAAAATGAAACCAGGACACATTTTAGACCAAAGAGTTCCGGGCCGGGCGCGGTGGCTCAAGCCTGTAATCCCAGCACTTTGGGAGGCCGAGACGGGCGGATCACGAGGTCAGGAGATCGAGACCATCCTGGCTAGCACGGTGAAACCCCGTCTCTACTAAAAAATACAAAAAACTAGCCGGGCGAGGTGGCGGGCGCCTGTAGTCCCAGCTACTCGGGAGGCTGAGGCAGGAGAATGGCATAAACCCGGGAGGCGGAGCTTGCAGTGAGCTGAGATCCGGCCACTGCACTCCCGCCTGGGCGACAGAGCGAGACTCCGTCTCAAAAAAAAAAAAAAAAAGAGTTCCACTGGGGACTTACTCATAACCTAGGTATCTTTTCATATAAAATGCTAACTATAGGATTAAAGCTGCAAGTGTAATCTGAAAGGCATTAGAGGCTGCTTAGATCCACTTATTAGCATTTCCTCAGTTGAAGCATTTTCTCTTGCTAAAATATCAATGAAAATGAAAAAAAGTCAGAGCCAGTAGAGTTCATATAGTTAGAAGCATAAGCTCTGGAGGTGGACTGGTTCAGACTCTAGCCTGTTGCTGATGAGCACAATGACCTTGGCTACTTTACCTCTCTGATCCTCAGTTTCCCCTTCTGTAAAGTGAGGATAATAACGGTAGCTTTCTCATGGAATTGCTGTGAGGGCTGGATGAGGTAATATATGTAAAGGGCTTAAAACAGTGCCTGGCACATAACAGCTATGTAAACTCTTTGTTGCTATTATTACTAGTAGAAGATTCCCAGTAAGAGTTTGGAGAAATGCCTTATGTTGTAACCTGTTACAAATTAGACAAACTAATTAAATTATGTGTATTGTATATAATTATCAAGAAAACAAAGAAACTGGGGGAAAGCTTTGGGACAGACTCACCATGGGCTTGGTAAGGAGCCTGCCATCCCACAGCCAGCAAAGCAGGTTCAGTTACTTCAGTCAGGTGCGGCCCTCAGACTCTCTAACTCCCTGGTTATGTAGGTGCTATGCCATGTCTTTTCTTCACAAAGAGATATGGAAGCTTATGTGTGAATAATTTGGTTGTGAAGAGTTAACTCTACTGAAGTAAATTTCTTTTATTTTTTTTTTAAATTGAGACAGGGTCTTGCTATGTTGCCCAGGTTGGTCTCAAACTTCTGGACTCAAGTGACCCTCCTGCCTTGGCCTCCCAAAGTGCTGGGATTACAGGTATGAGCCACCATGCTCAGCCTGGAAGTAAATTTCATACGGTTTTTCCCTCATGGAGACGTTAAGAAAAATCTGAAAGTAAAGGTTTAGGAAGAACACGGCTAAGTTGGGATACTAATGCAAATCTTGTTTTCTTCATTTGCTTCTGGTGTGATTCATTGCTAAACATCTTTATTTAGTATTAAATTAATACTGGATTTAATATCTTTATGTACTTATCCTTTCATGGAGACACTTAACAGTAAAAAGGTCAAAAGGTCAAGAGGATCTAAAAACAAAGGCCCAGATTTTCTACAGAGTCAAGCACCAGATCATGAATGGGTATTTCAGTTTTGTATTTGTGTCTACAGAATAGCCCCAAGTGCTTGGCACTGTCTAAGCATATCACAAACATCAATTCACTGAACCCTCAAAACAACCTATGAGGTGGGTTCCACACCTCACCCAAGGCCATACAGCTGGTTTGTAGTGGAGTTGTGATTTGACTCTGGATGTCTAGTTCCAAAGTCAGTGTTGTGAACCAATAAACTATGTTGCTCAAAAAACTCTAAGAAAAGATAATACAGTTCTGGATTAGCTATTTATACTGTATTAGCAAAAGACCCTGGCTGTCATCCCAATGGTCACCTAAGTTTTCTGCCTATAACATTCACATGGACATATAACACTCTTTCAGTTCTTCTTTCTGGAAAAAGCATTAACTTTTTTAGTTATCCTTTACAGATTGTCGCTATACATGTAAGAAAACAGCTCTTAAAATTTAACCTTTGTTCACCTTATTGTCTCATTTGCCACTCCATCCTTTAAAAAAAAATCAGATATATCTCTTAATTATTTCTGTAAGGTGAAAATGATTTAGAATGAAGTAGAAGAAAAATTATTAGGGACTCAACCTCACATTGCTAAATTCTGGATAAATTTCTAGGATCAACAGTTCATATCTGTAATCCTGGGCCTCCTGTTAATTCAGCAGCACTGAGTTCACTGAGCCACCTGACCCCAGCACAGGCTCAGGCTGAGCTCTTCAGGTCCAGACATGAGAGGTCTCGTGCTGCTGGGAACAACACCCAGGAGACAACCTGCAGCCCCTTATTAGCTATGTGCTTGGGAAGAGAAACCTCATCAGGTGAGACTGAGGTTTTTCTGAACTTCCTCCTGAACACTTAACATCCTATGCCTTAGGAGAAAGCTATGGTCAGGTACTCACTCAGCTAGAAGTGTGGCTACCATAAGTACATCCATTAGGACTATGAGCAGTACTGGGAGCTGCACACAACTGGCCTTAGAGTTCTCTCACATACAAATGCCTCTTTTGATTATGAATGTTAAAATGTTTGTGCCTTAATAATTCTGAATAAAGAGGCCTACTAAAATACATACAAAAATAGAGAAAAGCTTTGTAGACCCTTTATGTATTTTGACAGTCACAAGTCCATTGTTGTTGAACGTTTATTGAGCTCTAGTAATGTGATAGGTGCCACACAAAACATTAGACACAGTACCTGCCCAGTGGGCTTACAATCTAAGGACATGAATCTTTTATTTTTTTTTTTTATGACAGAGTCTTGCTCTGTCACCCAGGCTGGAGTGCAATGGTGCAATCTTGGCTCAATGCAACCTCCACTCCCAGGTTCAAGCAATTTTCCTGCCTCAGCCTCCCGAGTAGCTGAGATTACAGGCGCCCACCACCACGCCCGGCTAATTTTTTTATTTTTAGTAGAGATAGGGTTTCACTACGTTGGCCAGGGTGGTCCTGAACTCCTGACCTCAGGTGATCCACCCGCCTCGGCCTCCAAGAGTGCTGGGATTATAGGCATGAGCCACTGTGCCCGGCCATGATTCATTTAATGTTGCCACGAGTTTGCTGTTCATGAAAATGAGGTATTAACTGCACTGGTTAGTGCAGGAAAAGAGCCTAAGGAATCACTGACTTTTTATGCAGGCTTCCCTATGCAAGTAGGCACAACTGCTCATCTTTATTCTCTTAAAGTATGGTTGGCATTTCCCCAAATTTGGTGATTTTGTGATGTGTATAAGTATCTATAAAGATAGAACCACCAAACCCACATTTCTGAAAACCAGGGATCGAATTTGGCTTCTAGTGCAGAAGAAAATGCTTGGTTATATATTCAGAAAAACACTATTATTCAAAACAGACCCTAAGGAAAAATAGTACGGGAGCCATGTTCCTGCTCAGAGTTCCTAGAATGTCCAGAATGCACCTCCTCAGGGCAGCCCTGAAAGTGCCCTTTACTCTCAAGGTTTTTTGCCCTTGGAGCCCGGAGATGCAAATACATTTGCTGGGTTCTGCCTGGGCATCTACCAAGGAGAGGTGTATCTGAGGGCCGAGTCCTCTCGGTGCCTCATGGATCACAATGTAGACAATCCACGTGTTGGTCCTTGGCAATACATCATGCTAATTTCTATTTCCAGAGTAGCAAACATGTACCACAGGTCTCCAGAATATACCAGGAATTTGTAAAAATGCAGCCCATTAAAATATTTGCCACTGATAAAAAATTCATAAAGACGCTACTTAAAAAAACTTGTCCTTTTCTTGCCATGGTGAAGTCAAGTGATGAGTAAACACCTTTATCTGTGAATCACTCGGCAGAATACATTGGTTTCATATGGAAAGAAATATAAAATAACTTACATGTATTTAAAGCAAATTATTTAATTCTTCATTCTTGTTACTTCTATGCCTTCTCTATAGTGCGGTCTTTTGTCTCTTTGATCCTGATGAACTGATAATTTACTACTTAATACATTTAGATTCCCAATCCTTTATTCATGTATATCTTGAATTTCAGCAAGATATGAAAATGCAGACTCCAGGGGTACATTTTGTAATGATACAAGCCTTCTGAGGAAATTTTCTGACAGGAGCTTTTAATCCTGCTGTGGTCTGTTTTACCCTTTCCAATACAGTTTTCCTCTGTGCTTGCAAAAAATATCAAAAAAGACCAGTTGGCACATTCTGAATGTATTTTCTGAACAAGTATATAAGTAGAGAGGGAGGCCATTTTGCAAATGCAGATAATGCTGACAAGTCATACTTCCAAATAAATTATAATTTGATTTAAAAAGGTTGCCTGCATGTACATTTGCCATTTTACAAAGAGCAACTGTACTCCTACCTCCACCCAAATTGGTAACGATCTTATCTTACAAACAACCCTTAATATTTTAAAAGCTGCAGAAAAAACAAATACATGAATAAATGAATAAACAAAAAACACACAGGGAAAGGGTAGAAGCTCTTGCTCCAAGGAGTAGATGAAAGACTGATAAATGAAGCTGAGGTCCCCCCAGTGCTTCCCTTTCAATAGTTTGTTATGCTAAAAATATTTTAGTTTTTAAAAACTCTGCACTTGCCTCATTTTTATTGGAACTCAATTTGTGAACCACAACTGAGTCTCTATGTAGGATCTCCAGAATGCAAATCAGAAAAAAAACTGAGATTTTATTCAGATTTTTCTATTAGATTGAGCCACTGATGTTTGGTAAAGGGCACTTGATGGTTAAAAACACAACTGGCATGATAAAACTACACGAAATAATATCTACTTTATTTGAACAGTCATATCAAGAATGGCCCTAAATTTAATCAAAGACTAAATTTAATGAAAGACTCTCACATTAAAGACTCTGGATCGTTTGAAGGTATTTTGCCTGCAGGTGAGACTGGTTTTGAGGGCACAGAAACGTAGCCTGAATGAACCATTCAGAACTCATCGTGCATCCAACTGAACATGTTTCATGCTTACCCCATTTTTTTTTTTTTATGCAACAGGCTCAGTTTTCTCACATTGGTGCTTCTCTTCATGCTAGAACTGCTTATGTCTACAGAGTCCCCGAAGAAGCAAAAATCCTTTTTTTAGCATTAAACATAGCATATGGAGTTCTTCCTCAGCTCTTGGTCTATCGTTGTATCTACAAACCAGAGTTCTTCATAAAAACAAAGGCAGAAGAAAAAGTGGAATAAAAATATTACTTCATGTTCCTTTCTAAATTACTAACTTTTGTTATACTGGTACTGATATTATGTCCCATTTCATTCTCTTCTCATACATGAATACTTAAGAATATGTACATTCTTGCTCTGCACTGTATGTGTGAGCTATATGGTACTGTGTAAATTTTTGAAGCAAAATGGAAATTCTTGAGAAAGTCTGTTTAAAGAAATATATTCAAAATCATTTGTGAATAAACTTGATCATCCATCTCAATATTCTGTTTGACATATGAAATAATTATAAGTGTAAAAAATTACAATTTAGTGTCAACAGTAGTGAGCATGAAATTATTCAAAAGAGAATATAGAGAATATGGCCTGTTCATATTAAAAAATTCAAAACAGTGAATGCAGACTGCAGAAATAACTTCTGCAAATAAGATGAATATGCTTCATTATTAACTTCAATATAAAAGGCAAATCATCAGAATATTTGTAAATGTTGTTTGAAAAATGTTTTCCCAAGGAAAGTTCATTATTTGCTGCTGTTTTAAGAAAATTACTTTTACTAAATTTTTTTGTGTGAATTTAAATAGCTAAATAGGAATCAATAACTATCTCTACCCTTAATGAACACTTGTTTTAGTGGTGGCTGAAAATATTTCTATTGTATTTCTGTGTATGTTTTTAATAAAATTATTTTTGGCCTCTTATGAAGACAAATCTTATTAAATTTGAAACATTTCATATATACACATAAAATTGCTTTTAAACAAAATTTGTGAGTTGTATATTCCAATTCAAAACGTCATCTACATTCCCCTTATGTTTCAGTGTGAGCAATGAAGAGGCCTTTTGATGAATTAATTAAATTTCATTAATTTAAAAATACATTCAAATATTCAAAATTAAAAAGTATCTTTTAAAGAAAAAGTATTAGATTGACATCCCTACTATCTTTTTATGAACTTTCCATGTTTGGGATTGTATGTTGAATATACTAGAGAAAATCAGTATTTACTAAATGAAAGAAACACACCAAAAATACAAACAGCCACCTCCTCACTGTGCCCTGGAATGATCAATGGACTGGTGCTTTCATACCCTTAGCTGCCATCATCATCATCATCATTAATGGCCCTAGGCTTTTAGGTCTGCTCACATTTTCTCATGTTTTTATTAGCTCTCACAAAGAAAACCAAAAGAAAATGGGATACAAATCAATGCATGGATAATATCAAGTTACAAAATCTAGGGTCCACAGGGCTGGTAAATATGCATGTGTAAGCAAATCATGTAGTCATCTCCCCTTCATCCCCTACAGTGTTTTCAAATAATCTAAAACCCAGCGAGTGTTTAAAAAAAAAAAGAAAGAAAAACCCTCACCTGCACTTGATTCTATTGTCAGCTTGCTGTGAACAATTTTTGCTTTAATATATGAATTACATTAATACCTCACATTACATATATGAAGCCAAATTACACTAACTTAGTTTGCTTACAACCTCAAATCTTACTCCCAGTACACATTCCAATAAATTTATTCTGTAAAAACAATACATTTTTTTGTTTTTGATTTTTTTACAGTAAACTTTTCAACTACAAACCTTGAATACGCGAAAGATGTTCCAAGGACAAGCATTAACAGGATTGATAAAACCCAAACTGACTAAATGTGTTCTCACAATATAAGCTGGCATAAAAATAAATAAAATTCTCTATTATCACAATAGCAACAATAATGTACACATAATAATGGTTTATGGATGAATATTAACTATTCTAATTGTAGTTCCAAAAGAAAACAGTTTATTTTAAAAGTCTACATTTAAAAGTCAATGTTTTGTCTGGTTTCCCATAGGGCTGTTGCTGATTCCAGCTTTAAAATGTGAAGTATCCACCTTGAGTGCTTAGCTCAAAATTGTATTGGCACTGGGAAAAAATAAATCATTGCCTTTATTTTGGAGTAACACAAAAAGACTCACTAACTTCACATATAGAAACTTAGTTTGTGTACATAACAATATGAATTTTGAGAAGTATAAGCTGTCAACTAGCTATTTCTAATACGGAATAGATATTTTACAATATGGTTAAACTTTACACATGGCCTCAAAACTGAAGGACAATTTTAATTTCGTCTTCAATATACCAACATTATGTATTTAGGAATTAATTCCTGGGTCTGTCAAAGAGAGGAAATTCCATTCTTAAGCATTATGTTGAGTGGTCATCTAAAAAATGTTAATTTATATTTAACTGAGTGTTTGGTGATGGTGGGGTCAAGGCAGGAAAATGATGATCATAACTGCCTTGATAAAAGGATCCTAGACATGTATAAGTCTGCGCAAAAATCTTGATAATCCTTAGTGGTTAAGGGCAACCTCATGCAACCAAATAACATGAAATTAAATCAGTAACTTTTAAAAAAGGCTAAAATGTCTTTTCCCCCCAAAACACAACAGAGAGGAATATGAATAATGTACATACAAACTGGGGTTCTGTCAATGACAACAAGGACTATGTGTTGGTTCATATCAAATCCAAGAATATTAGACAACCAAACATATAACCTTCTTGTGGTTTCTCTTAATATGCAGCATTCATTATGGTAGTTAGGTCTGTAAAAAAAAAAAAAGAAAGAAAACAAGCCTTTAGATGATTTAGGATACTAACAATGAGAGCTATCCAAACCTAGACAGTATATAATTGGGTTTTCTGAAATTTTAATATGCACTGCAGCATTAACAATACTTACTGAGCAAAAGCAGCCTCTGTGGCTTTGCTTTAGACCTGTCAGTGCAAAAAGTTAAAGGAAATACTAGGGTATTTTTAGTGCCCCATAGAAAAAAATTATAAACCTTGTCTACTGTCTGTCAGGACAGAGTGCGGCAGTGCACGTTCTACAATTCTAGGACTATGTTTATTGCTGGAATACATCACCAATGGAGAAACTGATATAATCTATCTTTGTGAGGACTTTCTTCAGAAAGAAAGGTAAGCTGTGTAAAATTTAAAAAGCCCTTAGAGTGTTAGAGTGTGCACGAATTACTCTTTAGAATATTTATAATTTAATTACTTGTGACACATGGCTCAAACATAAGAGTTAATCAAGATGTACAAAGTCTCTGACTTCTTGCTTTTAAAAAAAACCATAAAGGATAAGAGGAAGCCTAGATTTCTTTTAAAATTCAGATGGCATCCATGTGACAAACAGAAAATAAAACATTTGTTTCATAAAAGAATTATGTTTCGATTTGGGTCCCACTTTAAATTGTGTCTGGTTCTATTTCCCCAAAAGGATGCTATTTTTTCCCCCTCATCATTAACCCAAATATATTAAACCCCCTAGTAATACCCTCATGGGATGAATGAAAGAGGGAACTCAGCCCTCAAATATTTTTTTCTAAAAACAGCCTGCTTCCATTCTTAATTTTACTAAATGAATGAACATGTTTGTAAGCACATGTGCATGCTCATGGGTATGTTCCCATTCAGACAGCCAACATGTATACTAAATGGTATATATTATAATAAATGATTCCAGGACCTTCAAAGGAGAGAGAGTTGCCAAACCTTCTATCCCCCTAAGATGGCAGAAATACACTTTTTAGCCTTCTGTACCCACCAAAATGAGGAAGTAAATCTTAAAAAAAAAATGTTTAAAATTTGTGAACTTAAACAATGGAGTGCCTGATGACTCCTAATTATTTCTTAACAAAAACACCAGTTATAAGATTATACTCACAGAAACTTTGGAGGATCTTCCTCCCTTGTGAAGGAGGAAGACACCCATTAGAACAATGAAAAATTGTTAGTCAACCAAAGAAATCTGTTTGTTTGTTTTTTTTTTTTTTGAGACACAGAGTCTTGCTCTGTCACCTAGGCTGGAGTACAATGGCATGATGTCGGCTCACTGCAAGTGAGCCCTCCCCGTTTCAAGTGATTCTCCTGCCTCAGCCTCCTGAGTAGCTGGGATTACAGGTGTGTAACACCACGCCCGGCTAATTTTGTATTTTTAGTAGAGATGGGGTTTCACCATGTTGGTCAGGCTGGTCTTGAACTCCTGACCTCGTGATCCGCCTTGCTCGACCTCTCAAAGTGCTGGGATTACAGGCATGAGCTGCCATGCCTGGCTGAAACCTTCTTTAACAATGTTATCTTCTTATTACTGTGAAAGGCAATAAATTCTATGTTTATCTTGGTAGAACACTCACAGTAAAAACTACTCAATCCACATCAAAGAATATTTTTGGAACAGGTGGTCCCATGGCAGTCTCAGAGTAGTATTAATACCCAAACAAAGTGAAGGGAGCACCAAGAATGTGACTACAGTTTTAAGGACATGCTTTTTTTTGGTCTTTAAACAAGGTGCTGTCAAATGGGTGCTCTGTAAAAGCAAATTACAAAATCTGAGATTAAAAAATTCTCATACCATAATCACTTTGCATCCATGTATTGAAAACTACATCTTGCTAATTCATCATGGTATACATTCTGGACATGGTACTCTGACTGTCTCCTAGATCTGACGTCTCCTCTGAGTAAGTAGCCACAAGTGGTTCCTTATGCACTGGTTGCCATGCATCCCTATATTAGATAATGGCTGGAGAATCCGATCAGATTCTCTCTGGAGGTATCTAAATGTGAGGCACACTGAGAGGCTGTAGGGTGGCAGCAAAGCTGATGGATACCCAGAACACTATAAGCAGAAGTTATGAAGCAATAGAAGCCGTAAGGATCTTTTCAAGGAGTAACATTTTGATATGAAGGAATGATGATATTCAATATGGCTTTGCAGACTCAGCAATTTGGCACGTTATAATAAGTAACCTATTACTTCCAGAAAAACAACTATTTTTTGCCAATGATAAAATTTGAGTGTTTAGTGAAAACTAGAATTTCAAATCCTCCATGACTGATAGTTTTCCAATATTTAAAGACTTTTTTTTTTTAGAGACAGGGTCTTGCTCTGGTGCCCATGCTGGGGTGTAGCAGTGTGATCACAGCTCACTGTAGCCTTGAACTCCTGGCCTCAAGCTATCCTCTTGCCTCAGTTTACCAAAGTGCTGGGGTTACAGGTGTGAGCCACCAAACTTGGCCCCAATACTTAAAGACTTTTCTGATGAGATAGGTAGTGATATTAAAAATGTGATTAAAAATATTTTGTACTGAAATGGGTTAATATTTGGAAAACCCAAGTAATTCAGAGAATCTATATTTTCTAAATGGGGGAAAGCTATTCAAAGTGCTAGACAAACAGGCATATGAAGA